AGCCCACGATTCGCTTGTTGGTGATGGAGGGGACTAAATTAGGGTCCTCTTTAGTGCCTGAGGCTGCCTTTGGAGCAAGCATATTGTATGGATCCAGCCCTTTGCGTGCGGCCAACATGATCTCCCTCTCGAGCCCCGTCGCCTGCTCTTCGTCCGTAGGGATGCCGCCTCCAGTCGCCATACTGCGCACGGCGGCCACCCCATTGGGGCCGCGGGCCCTCAGGGCCTGGGCGGCCAACGCTCCAGCTCCGCGAAGTAACCTTGAGGCCATGACGCCCGCAACCAGCAGAAGCACTTCCGGGCAGAGGCTCGGCCCACAGACAGGACTTCCGGGGGAGGGCCTGTTGCCGGGTGCTGTCAGCTTTCCGCTTCCTCCGCTCCCTCGAGCCCGCCCCGCTCACGTGACCGCAGCGGACCGCTGCCGGAGAGCGGAACTGCGCGTGCGCGGCCTCGCCTCCCTGCTCACGTGACCGCAGCGGACCGCTGTCAGCGAGCGGAACTGCGCGTGCGCCCCTCCCGCTCCGGCCGCGCAGGTGGGGCGGCGTGAGGGTGACCGCGGCGACGCTTCTTTCCTGTGCCGGTCCAGGCCACCCCACCATCTCAATTCGGGGCTTTGGGGCCATTACTAACGCTAGGATTGGTGGCAAGTCGCTGAATTCCTTCGGTGTAGAAGGGTTCGGCCTCTTTGGTGTGTGTGTGCATATTGCCCTGTTAGAAAGCCCCCAAAAGCTCACTGTGTGGAGTCCATGCCAACTCCTAGTGTGCCCAGAGGACACAGCCGAGCTGCCCCTGTGGGTTTCGGAGGAGAGTAGAAAGCCAAGTCTGGCTTCCCCCGAGCAGCTGGTGGATCCGAACCTGTGCCCAACGCTATCCACCCCAGGGCTCCTCTTGCCCTGAGAGTTGTGCTGAAGAAATGTGGGCGCTGCCGAGCGGCCCTGGCTGGACCCGAGATGACTTAAAAGACCGACCACCGTGTGAATGGTTGAAGCTTTGTTAACTGATGCTGATTCTGGGTTTTTGGTGTTTTTTTCTGTGCGATTGAGGTTTTTGTTTGTGTCCTGTTTGTGTTTAGTTGATTTTCTGTATAGGAAATTCAGGATAGGCAGATCTATAGAGATTAATAATGATCTAGGCGCATGGCATGGAAGGATGGGGGCAAATGTGGAGCTAACAACAATAAGTATGAGAAGAAAAGGTTCTGAAATTGATGATGGTGATGATTGCACCTCTGGGTATGAATTTAAAGGGTTTGAATGATTAAATTGTATAACGTGAAGTATATGCCAAAAATACTATTTTAAAAAGGGAAGAACAGAGTAAATCACATCCTTTGTACTTGGGCTCCCTGAGGCTGCAAACCTAGAGCCAGGGCAAGAGTGATGCTCAGATTCCTAAGGGGTGCTGGACCCACAGACGCTGAAAGGGAGAGATGAGCCATTTTCCAGAGCAAACAGAGAGAAATCCTTTCTCTAGGCCTCGTGCGCCTATTTCCAACTTCTAGCCTCCTACACTGTGAGAGAAGAAATCTGTGCTTGTTAAAGCAAAAAAAAAAAGGAATTTCTCCAAATTTTTTGAAACTGCTTGTGTAGCGCTACCTTACAGATACACAAAGGTCTCACATATGGCCAATACAAAGAGTCCATGTAGTTCCAACATGTAATTGACGGCACATGACAATTGCTGCATAATGTGCTCTACAACGGCTGTGACATTTATTCAATTTATCCAATCATTTCCCCCTAAGTGAATATTCAGATCTCTTTCAGTTTGTTGTTTTGCCACCGAAATGATGCTTCCATGCGTGCCCATGCACATAAAACATTCTTTTCTGGAGCTTTCCCTTTCTACATAGAATCAAAGGGTGCCTACGTTTAACATTTTAATTCTGCCAGATCAGGTTTCTCAAAGTTTGGAGCAATCCACATTTCCACCAGCAGGTCGCGTGCGAGCCAGCACCAACTTCCATGTGCTGAAGGATACTTTTGCAAACTACCTGCTGGGTGAGGAATGAGGCACTGTGAGTGCTGTAGTATTTCCATTTTCAGTTCCTGGACCTCTGGCAGCTGAGCATCTTTTCACATGTTTAGTGGTGTCACCGCTCCTTCTCAGGGCTGTTGTGAGCATTAAATGAGTTAAATTTGAAAATCACTCAGGTCAGTGCCCAACCCATGGGGAAGATGAGCTGAAAAGTTATCTCTGTCACATATTCATAGTTGTGTGGGTTTGCCTAAAGGAACTCTGGAAGAATACACAGGAAACTAACTTCAGTGGGTGCCTGTGAGAGTCCCTGGGTGGTGCAAAGGGATGTGCTCAGCTGCTTCTGAAAGGTTGGAGGTTCAAATCCACCCAGAGGCATCGCAGGAGAAAGGCCTGGTGATTGATCCATTGGAAAGTCCTAGAGGACAGTTGATCCTGACACCCACGGATGGGTACAGTGAACTGATGTCAATCCAACAACTGGTGGGGGGAACTAGACCCAAGGGCGGTGTCAGAACTTCCACTGCACGCTTTCGTCCTCTTTTCTGGTCAATTATGTCAATGTATTAAGGAGCCCACGTGACGCTGTGGGCTAAGCATTTGGCTGCTAACCATGAAGTCAGTGGTGCAAACTGAGAACGATGAGGCATTCTGTTCCCATAAAGATTCACGTCCTCAGAAACCCTGTCTAGGGTCACGATGCGTCAGAATTCATTCCCCGGCTCTGGGTTTAATTTGTTAATGTCAAGTATAGGACTTATTCAAAAGGTGCTCTGGTGGCGTGGTGCATTATGCATTGAGCTGCTCCCCACAAGGTCAACGGTTCAAACTCATCAGCTGCTTCACAAAGATGAGGTGGTCTACTGCTGTAAAGATTTTTAGTCTCGGAAACTTAGAAGGGTAGTTCTCTGTCCCATAGGACTGCTGCATCAGGACTGACGCAATGGCAGTGAGTACTGCTCATTCGAAATAAAATTGGTCTTTAAAAAACTGCCTATCATTCTCAATGTCAGCGGTTCTCAACCTATCGGTTGCAACCCCTTTGAGGGTCGAACAACCCTTTCACAGGGGTCACCCAATTCATCACAGTAGCAAAATTACAGTGATGAAGTAGCAACGAAAATAATTTTATGGTTGGGGGTCACCACAACATGAGGAACTAATTTAGAGGGTCACGGCATTAGGAAGGTGGAGAACCACTGCTCTGTATTATTGGGATATTGTTGATTTGCAGGGACCCTTTGACTCATTTTTGTTGTTGTTCGTTGCTGTTGAGGTGGTCGCAAGACCTCGGGGAACCACAGTTCTAGTGACCAGCCTACAACAAAACAACTTTGCCGTGCTCACACCAGGCTGTGCGTGAGCCCGTGGTTGTGGCCACTGTGTCCGCCCAGCTCACTGAAGTAGGAATCATCTGTCGAGTCCCTCCGTGGACCAAAGTTGGTCCCTAGTCAAGAGTAAATGAAATTTCTGCTGGAATTTATCATCACAACAAAGTAGAAGTGATTTTTTTAAAGTAGGACAGAGTCCACGTAAACCTGCAATAATGGTGTCAAAAATGGACCTTCATCTGCATTTTGGTTTCCCAGAGGAGCAGCTCTGAGCTCTGACTGGACCACAAAAGCCCTGACCACTTCGGAAGTATTTCGCCAGTTCTTAATTACTGCTGGCAGCAAGGGAAGAAAGCTGCTGAACCAAATGCCTGCCTGGATCCTGAATCAGCAAGGAACCAGACTCCAAAAGACCCCTATGGAGGCCTGAGGGAGAGGTGACAAAATGTTTGAATCTCCTGTAGGCAGCTGCAAACTGGGACCCTCTGTCGGGCCGCCTCACAACGGAACGCTTTTATGCAGATGCAAGAAATCCAAAATGGGTCACCTTTAACCGCAGTCAGCACGGGGCCTGGCTGGAGCTAAAGCTTGGAGAGGCAGAGGATGCTTCTAATTCGGAGTTGGGTTTTTGTTTTAAAGAAATAAGAGTCTGATCAACCAGTAGGTCACATAGGAGACCGCATGATTACCATCCTTCCCTTCTCTCACCCCTGATATCACACCCTCAGTCTCCTGGAACCCCGTTTATTCTTGCAAAGAGGAACATGAGCTCCACCTGGGAAATCCAGTATTCCCCTTCTACCACCACCCCCTTTAACAATTACGGTCTGGGAACCCATAGGGTGGTGACACGTTGCCAGAATCAACTCAAGAGCAGTGAAAGGGGAGTTGGAGCCATCCCTCGGAGTCCCTCCTTCCACCTCTCCCCTTCCTCTTGCTTACCGGCCGCTATGGGCTTTGTTCCTAGCCATCAGGGGCCACTGAACCATAAGGAAGAGGACAGTTTACAAGGGCAGGGTGGACAGAGCCAAAAGGGATGGTGAGGACCAGGGCCAGCCGTGATGAGACACCCTAACCCCTCTGGGGGCAGCACGCAAGACCTTGGCAGAGGGGATGACGTGGAGGGTGGGTGCCGATAGCTCCCTCCACCCCCTCCCAGTCCCTGCCTGTGAAGCCAGCTGGCAACATGAGAGCCAAGGAGTTCTTGATGTGTCCTCTGGAGCCCAGAGAGTGGCCAAAGGACAGAGGGGCCACACTTGGTTCTCTGCCCGAGACTATCTCGGGCAGATAGTTCAACCACTGTCACTGGCGTTTTGGGGTTTTTGTTTTGTTTTTTTAAGCAACAGATCATCAATTTATGAGAAGGGCTGACTTAAACCTCTGCCCTGGTGACCTCAACCTCTAGTCTTGGCTCCATCCCGATAGACGGAATCTGCATTAGTGTCCCGAGGGACTCTGCAAGTTGACCAGTTGCTTGTGGATTCTCTTGAGTCCTTTGGGGAAGCAATTTGTACACTGGAGGGGGAAAAAAAGATTACTCTCGTGTAGGTTATTGTTCTCAATGTTGCTTAGGGTTAGTTCTGCCTCTGCCTCTTTATATTAAACTTCTAAATGGTATGCATTAAAATAGACCTACCTATATATGTTTAAGCCATTTAAAATGGCAAGAGCTCCAAAGGACAAGATCAGATTCAGAGGGGACCCTTCCCACCTCTCGAATACGCCTTGTGACAACTGGAAGTGGAGTGAATGAACAGCCCCCACTCCTGGCAGAGTTCTTCACGTCAAGACCCTGCAGCCTTAGTTGCCAGGTAGGCAAGCTGCCAGCACACAAGCACGGCTGCTTTGTCACCCATCACGGCCTGCACCCAGGGTAGGTGCACATTCTGGCTGTGCCAGCTAAGCTTCGTCCCACCACCCTACCTGGAGAAGCAGGGCATCGTTGTCCATGATGCCTACTTAGTCAGTTCTCCCCACTGTGGTTGTGCGTCCTTGA